ACACAAATTCAAGTCTTAGGTCAGTGAGAGATGCACGTGGAAATACACAGAAGACTCCAAGAGTGTTGGCAGACTTGAGAATTGAACTAACAACCTTCTTGCAAAAGAAAGGGGCACTGATCACTCAGTCATGTCTTTATGTGATATGAGCAGATTGTAGTACATCACCAATTCAGTGAAAATAATAAAGTATAGAAGTAACAGTTGACAGTTGACAGTGGATACTTACTTACTAGAAAGTATAAAATAATAGTAGTTTCCTTGTGGTTGGACATTTGCTACAATAACTGAGGGGATTTTTTATTTTTTTTTAAAGAATGTTCATCATGATATTTTGCCCTTCGAGACAGTTCTTTATGAAGATCATAGAATGTAATTCCATACTTAAACTTTTTTGCTCTGAGGTTCATTTATTACTTCAATATTTTAACATAAGTTGATTTTTAAGTTGTCTTTATTAAGTAACAAAATCAAAATAAGTATATCAAATTACACTGATCCATATATACAGTATGTTTGGACAGAAACTAAACAAAAAAAAACTAACAAATGGGTCAAGTACATAATGGTTTTTCTTGCTGATTAATAATTATGAGTCCTTGTTTAGAAGATTACGTACCGCAATCAAACTCTCTGCAATGTGTCTGAAGCAATCACAACTGTTTGAAACATCAAGTGTCCATTATATATCTTCATACTGTTAGATTGACAGTTACATTATTTTTATTTACAAAGTTCATTGAGTCTGTCCCTAACCATATAATACTACAGCAACATTCCTGGTGTTGACTTTAATGTGCAGACTAAATAAATTCTGTGATATTAAAGGTAATAAGGCAATATTGCTATGTGACATTTTGCATGCTAAATATTCACGCCATTGGATTTGGGGAGCTTAACCTTCCATATGAAAAGGAGATGATTGAAAATACATTTCATCTTGACTCATATCACAGAGAATCCCGTTATTAGCTCATAAAAATTATACCCAAAACAAGAAAGTTGGGTCTTAATATGAAATCCTTGATTACATATTCTGCTTCCGAGCTGTGGAAGTGACACAGTGCATGGATGTAATTAAGCTTGAGCCACATGGATAAAAAAACTAAGCTAGTTAATATGTTTGGGAAGTAATAAAAAAAATATATTGCATACAAGTTCAGTCCTGCACAGCTACTTTGCAAATGGTGGGTCTAATAATGCAGAGCTGGGAAGTTGAACACGACTGAACATTTGGTAAAAGGTAGCGGAAGAAGTCTGTTTTGACCATCACAACAATCCCCAGCAGCTCTGCACTCTCTTCCAAATTGAATCCAATAGCCTACCTTAGCCTTATAAAACATTCTATTACAACAAATTATACAACACCACAGTTAATGAGAAAAATGGGACAGCTTCAATGAATATTTTATCTGCAGTTCTGGGGATTTAGTGTGCATATATATATACTGTTTTATTTTTATCCCTGTACAAAACCAAAGGCAATTATTCACTCTACCAGTTCATGAACCCAGTTTCAAACATAAAGTTCATGAAGTGTTTTATTCAAATAATTACGCTCAATTATGTCCACTGAAGACTGCAGAAGAGGAAAGTTACATTGTAGTTTCTGGAAATATTCAGCAGAGTTATTTAATACCACAAAAGGGAGGGGTACACTATGATACTATAACATTATGATCACTGACAGATGAAGTGAATCATCTTCTCATCACAGTATCCATGAGTGGGTGGGATGTTAAGCAGACAGAGAACATTTTGGAGAGGAGCGGGACAAGCTGAAAAATGGCAATGATTTGAGCAAGTTTGGAAAGAGACAATTTGTGATCAATAAGGGGTAAGAATCTGTAAAACTGCAGTTTACCAGCAGGTGTCGGCAGCAAAGGTTGTTCAAGGAAGAAACCACTATTTAATAATCAATCAAAATGACTAGTATGTCAACAAAGTTTGAGAGAACTGGTTTTAAATTGTCAATGATCAGCAAGGAAACGTAACAGGTTCACAGCCAATCTAAGGATAGGAAAAGCATGGTGTTTTGAGTTTTTGATTCAGACTTTGAAGAAATAAATGGGCATTTCTTTTGTTTGTGATATGCTCCTGAAGTGGTGAAGAGTTCATTTTTAAATATTATATCATGAACCTTAACAAAAGCCATATTTGTTTAAAGGGCCCAGATTATGCCATTTTCTCATCGAGATTAAACTGATGTTACCTCATCAAAAACATACCCTGAGTTGTGTCTTGTTTCATTCACACATTTAACACACAAAACCTGCATATTTAGACTGAGTTCTTCTCTTTGTCTTCTTCTCTTAAACAGAAAACACTCCACCTTGTGAGGTCATGTGGTAATACAGAAATGTGCCATTGTGTTTGTAAACTCTATACATCTGGATCATTTCAATGCTGCAAAATTTCAATCTCTATTGAACAAAAGGTAAAAGGTAGCTGTTAACTTGAAAACTGCTGCCTCATGACATCACAAGGTGGAGCAGAGCATGTTGAGCTTTGGAGATGTGGACAGTAGGGCTGGTTATCATTAAGAAGTTGTACATACCTCGATACTTAGGCCACGATACGATACATATTTCAATACAGTGCACTTTTGATTCGATACGATATAGTTCAAATCGATTTGTTACAGTTCAGTAAAAACTAAAGGCTAAATCATGGCTGTTATGAAAAGTCTTTGTTAAACCACTTCTTGTGCAAAGTTCATATGAAAGACAAACATTTTAATCATCAAAACTGTGAAAATGTCAAATGTGTCGCATAAACCATTTTCCAGCAACAAAACTGTAGCAATGTAACAAAATAATTTTGTAAAATATACCAAAAAATACTCTTGGTGATATATCGATACAGCAGCCCACGATATCAATACTGTATCATCACATTAAACGATACAATATATCGATATTTAGATATTTTTACACACCCCTAGTGGACAGACTAATAATAAAGGACTACCGGTACTTTTTGTGAGTGAAACAAAACAGGTGTGTTTTTGATCAGGTAAAAACATTATAACATGGCTTAAAGCTCACAAGTGTCAATTTTGAGTAATATAGGATCTTTAAGAAATCATGATCAAGCTACATAAATCTTAATTTCCTGTTTTGCAATATCACCCAGCCCTACTTCACAGTTGGTATGTAAAATTATAGGACGAGATAATGTTATACCATATCATTCTGCATCCATAACCCCATCTAAGGACAGAAAATGAAGTCAACTTAAATGAACCTCCATGGGGACATAAAGAACACTGTTTATATATCACATAACAAACAACACAAAACAACATATCTAGTAAAAAGCCAACTAACACATGTAGAGGAAAGGGACATGGCAGGGGAAGTGATTCTCCACAATCTCTTTACAATGAGTCAAGTCTATTCTGTAGAGACGAGGAATACCCAAACGCACATGCATTGAGGTAATTGCCTATGTCTGTAGATGAAAAAGAGGGAAAGTAGCAAAGGAGGAATGAAGGAGAAAAATTAGATGTGTGTGTGCCAAGGGCCGCTCTAGCCTGAACTGATGAGCTCATTATTTTTGCTCCCAGAACCCCCTCCAGTCTCTGCTACAGCCAACGCACTGTGGAGTTCCCAAAGTGAGCGCGGGTGAGTCTGGCCTTTAGGAATGCCAGCAATACAAAATAAAGCTAAAATAACACAGGGCAAAGTGTGCTGAATGTAACAGAATAGACAACGGAGAGGGCATTTACTAAATACTATACCATAAATAAGATGTCCGCTTTTGAAAATTATACATGACTGCACTGCTGATGAGTGAAAAATGTCTTTAGATCCCTCCTCTGTGATCTTAAGAGTGCACCACATACTGTTATTCCCTAATGACTACATGGACACTTTGTAATTAACATTTTCAGTCTTAACAAGCAGAAAAGTAGGTGCATACGCAGAAACATGTATTAGATTTTGATAATGAATGCCAATGCAAACTCCCACACCAGAGAGGCCCAGCATGAGATACACTGTGTATACTCAAACAGCATAATAAAGCTCACAGTGTTGTTAAAAATGTAATTAACATAAGCAGACGTCTTTCAAATCCAAAAATGACATGAGCTGAGTGGAGTGTGCGTCTTCATATAAACTGTATATTATCTGTAATCACGTTAGAAAGGGCCCATTTCCAAGGCAGCATCTGTGTCTCATTTTATAACCCGCCTCTGATGCCTGCAGCAGCACTGTTTTATCTAAATTTGCGGTTATCTTTTGTACATAAAGGTCAAAGGTCACAGTTCTACTCAGACATCAACAGAATGGCTTGCTTGATTGTAATTAATATTTACATGGACCACACCAAGCGTCACGTTCATACACATAGAATTGCAGATTAAAATATGCACCAGACAGAGGTAAGAGATGTATTATTTTTTTGGAGATACTGCTGTTTTGGAGATTATGCAAAAATAGACATCAGAAAACAGCAAGAGAACTGATTAAAAACGCATAAAAGCAGAAACTTGAAGTATAATCTTACAGTGTACTTCAACCATTACATTTACAGGCACATTTTAGCACATTAAGCATGGATTATCATCATATTTCCTATAATCATTCATAATCGTTTTGCCAATGTCACCCGCTAGTTCCAGGTGCTTCCTTTTTAAACTAATTTGTTTAGGGCCAAACTTTAACACAAATGTCACACGTTCACTTATTGAATCTTATCATTCATCGTCTGCAGTCTGTTATTTCACTGCCCTGAGGAAATCCAAAGATTATATCAAAGTTTAAGGTTGCAAGAAAACATGCTACACTTCACATTGAATAAACTGAAATGTAGACCGTTAAATAAGATGACATTTACACAGCCAAATATTTTGTTAAATAATGAATTACTCCTGGATACAGTCTTCAGTATTTTAGTCTGTTCTCTTATTCTTCCCCACATATAACTCAAACATTAAACTATATGGTGCAATATTACTTCCTGCATTGAATTATAGTGAAACACAATTTGCATACCTCTGTTTATTGAAAAGTATCCAGTCCCGGATTTTCCACTCTGGGGTTGTACGTGTCTGGCCCTGTCAGCAGCTGGAGTTCAGGCTCATTTAGCAGATCCACATCAGTTCTGTTGCTCTACAGTTTAACTGCAGAAAAGTACAGGAAAATAAAGACATAGATAGCATCAAAACAACAACATGCACATAAAAGAGTACTGTGTGTCATGTATAATGAACTCAAACTATTTTAGAGATTGTAAGAATTAATCCTCTACACAGGGTAAGTCATATCAGCCTATTGTTGCCCCAGGTAAAGCACGAGAAAATCAAGTTAACATAAAGTAAAGGGAAGATAGGCAGAAACAAATTTACTGGCACCAAAAGGTATAAAGTTGTTAATGACTCTATTCCACTTTTTGGCATTTACAGGTCTTGTGCAGCTGGATGTGATGTCATGGGAAATGTTCAAAGTAAAGAACAATTCATCATCTTACAAATAAACAGAGAAGCAGTCACACGAAGGCTAAAATAAAAGGATCGATGATGCTGGGCTAAAGGGGCAAACCAGCTGCAGTTGGAAACAAAGTGCAGTCCAAAAAGAGGCCGTAAATAAAGAGCAGCTTCCCATGACCGGACAGTTTGGCCCAATGTCATTTAGCTTCTAGTCACTGAAACAAAATCCCAACGATGTGGACTTATAATAGCTGTTTTATTGTAGAAGCAGTAATCTAAGAATGCATAAATAACTTGAGTTAAATTAAACTTTAAGATGTGTAGCCTTAAAGCAAAGCTGAAGATCATTAAAATTCATAAATACTCAAGGAGGCTTTCAGCAATACAACTTTCCTGGAGTGTAAATCAATTTCAGTCTAACTCAATATCAGCTTCGCTTTTCAGATTTGTCTCTTTGCACAGAAGTTGTGCAGATGAGACCACACGAATTTCCAACACCTTCGGGCACTGTGAAGTTGTATAAATTGTTTTATTAATTGTATTACTTATAAACATTGCTTTTTTGGCAGCCATTAATCAATGTTGACACCGTTGTCATCAGGGTCAACTTGTGATCAGCAAAAGTTTTTTTTAGCATGCATGTACTACTACATATTTCATTCTCAATGAAATGATAATCCTAAGTGAATTATCTGTACATTATTTACACTACAAGAGCTTTGGGCATTTAATATTTCTTTTATTTTACCTGGACCAATATTAGTTCAGATGATAAGCATTCATGGGCGTACTGCTCACTATTGTCGATGGTGCTATCTGCAATAGCATTATATGATTTCTGACGTTTTCAAACATTTATGTTATAAGGTTCCTTCATGTATACATGGTAATGTGATAAAAATCCCTATGTAAAACGCAATGAAACAGTCTCATCCACAGATACAGGAGGCTGAGCGATGACAGCAGAAGCAGATAAAAGATGCTGATGAGAGGCGCTGTGAGGAGGCAAAGAAATCACAGAGTGAGATCAAGAGTAAAAATATAAAGCGAAGAGCAGACAGTGAGCAACACAAACAGGGGGAATAATAATAGGCTGAGGCAGCGGTGAGATAAGAGCCACATGTGAAATGAAGCCTTGATTGGGAGGAAAATGAGACAACACAAATGAGAAAGAGAATTGATATGCAGCTCCCTGACAGCATAAAGACACCTACGAAGCATCGATCCCTCATAAACAACTTAACCATACCTCCAACCTTAACTTATTCTGCACCATATGCTTGTCCCATCCACTTACAAGCAGTGTGCAGCCATAATTTAAGTATAATTTGTTCCTGCTGTTTCATATGCCTGTGTCTTATTGGTGCCCATATGGCTAAGCAGCATGGCATTGCGTCCCTCCATACAGCTCGCTTCTATTTCCAGTGGCTTCTATCAGATAACATTCACTACAATCATACTCGATATTGGACTGGTCATGCTTTCTCCCGTTGCACAATGTTTTTTTCTGATTACCATCGGAGGCAATATGGAGCACTGCAATTCACTTGCAAATGCCGCGTGTGTAAGAGCGCATTATGCTTTTATTGGCAAGTGAAAACATTTCTAATATAAAGACAGACATTGGATGGGGGTTGGAATACGAAAGAGAGGCAGCGTGGTGGTGGTGGTTGCGGCCTTCAATAATACAATTTGGTGTTCGGCAGCAGTGAAGGCCCCCTCCTGTGCGGCGTATACAGTCAGACAGGCTTTTATTATGAAAGACATAGAGGCAGAGCACATCTGAGACAGCCGCAACAATTACAGTATTATTTAGGTTTTGCTTATTTCTCGCTTCCCTGTGTCTATCTGTCTATCTCCCCGAGTGCTTGCTGGTTGTTTGTGTGTTCCGTGGGGGTGTGTGCCAACTGCCTTGTCGCTCGTATATGATTTTTTCACCACAACAGGAAATGTGAATGCCTCCTAAGGACCTTTATAAAAAGCCAACATCTGGAATATTACACAGACAGATGTGATCGTGTTTTTTCCTATTTTGTCCCATCTATGTCCATCATTCAATTTTAAAAGTCAGCGATACATTTTTAAGGGGCATCACTCATGTTTCTGAGGCCCCTGTAATGAGCTGACAATAGGTGATGATTGGAACAATGCTTGCATGATGGCACATCTTCCAACATGTCAACAATCTGGGTCTATTTATTTAACAGCTTGTAGACCACAGCTTCCAATAATCATCACATGCTTGGTTGCATTCTTACATCTGAACAGGTAGAATAGTATGAATTTGAATTTTTGAGTCCAACAAGCCGGTGCATTGGGGTAAGACAACAGGTATTTTTATATGGTGCATGATTTATGAGGTGTAATGACGCAACACTAGACAGAGGAGGCCAGAGGTTTTAAAGCTGATACAACTTTCAAAATGCACAAATAGCTCCAATTTCACAAGCGAGAAGTTCACATAGCCCAACAGAAACCTTTTGGGGTTTATAATGGTTGTTTGGAAAATTCTGGCTGAAAGTTTGTCTACAAATATTCTATACATGTTAAAGATGTACTATGTAACTATTCTAGTGCAATGTCTTATTTCCATGGATATTGTACTGGTTGTTTTTGCCTGCATTGTGGGAGTACATTGACTTGGTTCGCCTCTCCACCTGTAAATTGGCCTGGAGGTGCTGCATTCTTGTCTTCATGGAGATGGATAAGTGTAATGCCATACTGTGGAACACTGTGGGCAAAGCAACAACATTTCCATAGTGACATAGTGTACTATTCTGTATCAAGTCCAGGCCTAAGGAACAATCCAAGTGTTTTGAATCAGAAATAGCATAGTATCCATGGTGTTAGTGGGTACTGTTATTCATTTTCATACTCCTATAATAAGATCTACTATGTTTGACTTACCACTGAGCATGTGTGTCAATCACTCCCTAATGTGATCTTTCATTAAAGCTTACAACCTGCTAAATAATCATCCAGGGGAAAATTACTATCAAGTCGATTAATGACACCTTTCAGTTCATTTCGAGATGCAAGTCAATGGAAAGTAAATTGCTCAGCTCCATATGGGGCCTGACACATTGTTTGATGTTTTGCTCCCCCTGATATTACATTAGTTGAAATTAAATGACACTATAATTATGAAGTGAATGACGTAGACACTTTAATTAAAGCTTATATTGTGAAATACAGAATGAAGAATGTAATAATCTAGTGCAATGTGTCACTGTCCAAACACAAAGAAACCCTGAACACATTTAAACTAATTACTACTTCCTGGTGCTGTCTTACAGTGTGCACTCACTCACATAGGTTTAATTGGAAGAATGTAGTATGTAACAGGAGAATCTGGACGAGGACTGTTAAAATACACTGATCCTTGTAAAATAGGGAGGACAGATGGGAGAATAGTACAGCATGTTCTTTTAGTTAAATACTAATAAATGTTAAAGGTAAGTGGAGTGGATACACAAAAGAAAAAGTTGTTCAAATCCTTGAAGTAACTTCGTGCAGTGTACACAGACTTAATAGCTCCCAATTAATCTGAGTGGTTGAGTTGAGTTTGCTTCATCACATAAGTATACTGCACAACTGTAATACGAGTCCATAATGCTAATGCACATACCAGTAAAAGGGACCCTATACTGGATAGCTTTAAACAGCCAGTATAATTCTACTTTTTACTGTATTGTCTGGCACAATTTAATGTTGACAAGTTCTGTACCAACATGTACTAAAGATATGATTTATACACAAAACATGTTTAATAGAGAAAATGTTACCATCACAAGTTCAATTTAAATAATCGGTTTTGACAGGTTGAAGCGGATGTTAGAAAGACAATTTGAACTCTACCTTTCTTATGCTTCACTAAATAGACACGGAAACAAATCCTTATCAAGATTACAGGTGCATTATAGCTCTCTTCACTCCCTGCAGAGACAGAAACAATTTGCAAGCTAACTACCAAGATCTGAAAGTGCTGATGATGTGATTTGGTGGTGCAAAACATCTCTATTCTCACAAGCATAAAGACAAAATTCAACTACAACATAACTGGATATTGGAATCAAAACAACATAACAGCATAACACAAAAACACAATGTACCTGTCAGTTTTGGACCAAAATGTACAAGCAAAGGTATGAAAGCAGCAGTGGAAGTATTCGAGACGGCAAATCTGTTCTTCGTATTTTACCAGTTCACACATTTGAGAAACACCTGTACTCTCTCTGCAAACATTACAATTCTAGTGATTCAACATTTCTACATAACTATTGTAGTTGAATAAGCTTTTGCATTCCAAGAATCCCATTACCCCTGGCATTTAATAGCAGCACTTGTCTACTGTATGCTGAATGAACAATGTTTCAGTATTATGTGAATGAACCCTCATAGTGGACAGGATCTTGGCCTTGTCAGATTCTTGGATTCGTGTGTCATCAGTTTGGTTCCAGCGAAAGGTGAAGCCGATGAATACGGAGCGAACACCAGATGGGACATTTCAAAAATCCCAGATAAAATTGCCCTGTTATTCACTATTCTGGGTTTTAGTGAGCACAGTGGACAAGGCAATCTTCTGGAGGCAGACAGGTGATTTTAGTGCCAATCTTCCTGTCACACACTGGGTGACCAATGGGCTCAAATCTCCCCCTCCAAAAAAGCAAAGCAATCATCTAATAGCAACGGAGCATTTCAGCAAAGAAACAGTAAAAGTGAAGGAACAACGCTGGTGCAAAATGCTCCAAATTATAACAGGCGTGACTCTGAATTGCACAATATGACGATAGTTAAGTGGAAAGGTTTAAAGCCTAAAGTTTGAGCGCTGAACGTGTTGAATGCCAACAAGGATGCCCCACAATAGATGTATGTAACACAACAAAAGCAGTGATGAAAATTGCCTTGGGGCTGCGCTGTCGGAGTGCACACAGGAAGCATCATTTCATATGTACATCAGTGGTAAAAACACCCACAGATTCTCGCGTGTAGCCTACTTAAAAAAAAGTCACATTCATTTGCATACACAGCGTAGCCACCATGGAGGGATACCATATTGGGTGATGTCCAAACCCAAATCAAAGCTCCAAAGCTAAGCCCTCGAAACCTTTTAAAATTCACACCTGCAAAAATGTGGACTATTGTAGTGTACCGTCATCCATTTCCTCTCAACGGCGGATCGGTATTAAAATTGGTCCTCACTGCCATACAAAGACATGGAGAGGCACACACATGCGCTTTTTGCTCAATAGGTGGTCTGACAGAAATGGTTTATTGGGCATGAATGCTCCTCAAATTTCAGCGTGTTGCATCAGCCAACCAACTGTGTTTTTGCTAAATTAGTTTGCCCTTGTTTCCTCGAACAAATAAAACAGCGGTGTAGGCAGCATAAATGACACTCCAAGTGAAAAATAGCCATGCAAAATGCAGCAAAGTATGTAAATGTAATGCTCCCTTTTACTATATTTCTTCGTCTTTGTTCCCCATTGTGATATTCCCTGGTTACAATTCACGCAGCCAGGCTAATTTAGCTTCTACTAAAGTCAGAATATGCTGCGATTTACCTCACACTAAAGGGATGGCAATTTGTTATTTTACACTTAATTTGGGAATATCATTAGAAAAATGTTTTAACTATTGAAGAGAGTGTGCGAAATCCCAGTATTGTTATGGATATACAAAGTGCATAGAAAAAATTCCTTTTCTTTGGTTGTACTGCTCAGGTTGGTATAGCGACAATTATCAAAAACAACAGTGTACCAGATAAATTATGCAAATGTCACATCAAGCCTTTCAAGCACTGTCACTTGCTTTGTTTAACTAATTAAAGATGAAAACACTCATTATTATTCATGCATTTGCCTGTATATTTACTCATGTCATCAGTCATTCACTGAATCACATAATTTGATACAAAGTCGTTGACAATTATTAGACATGCATAAGGCTTTGGAGCAAGAAGACAACTGTTGTGGCAAATGATATTTCTGTTCCCCCTTTCCAAAAAATATTCAATTACTTTATCTAATAACTAATGGCTCAACTATTCTCAAGTAGTATTTTATGCTCTTACATGTTGTTTGATGTTTTTTAAAGCAGTGTTTGTGGCCAGTCTTGCCAAATTTGTTCTGACTCTGGAATGGTCTAATGTGGATTTTTCAGATGTTACCAATCTATGATTTGACTGATTGGATTTGATATTGATTGTATCCATATTTGAAAATCTATGGCAAGGACCACACATCCACTGCTCATCTATTTCCATTATTAATACAAAAATATAAAACTGGTCTGTCCAATAACAGGGAGCTATTTTCAATGATCAATATTAGCATCAATATATCATCCATTTCTAGACCTAACCAAAATGTTCTTAAATTAACTGGAATGTTGACAAAGACATGTAAAAGATGAAAATCTACACCTATGGCTCTCACTCAGGAAAAGAACATAACTATTACAGTGAGGCCACATCTGAAATTGCTGGAGCAGTACTTTTTAAAAATTAAACATTTGGGATTGACTGAAAAGTTAAAAGGCTGTTAAGAAAATGGAAAGAAATGAAATACAACCTAATTTAATGGTTAATGCAATAAGCAAATGTGTCCAACTATTGACTCCTATAAGAGACACCAGGAGAGACAAAACACTAAATTTGACTGGCAGCTGCACTAGTCATGATTTATTGACTTTACAGAGAGAATAAACAATATCGGTGGATGGACGGCACTCAATTTCTTAGATGTCTGCAATAAAGTCTGAAACACATCTGACAAAGTTTTACGCAAACCCACAACAAATATTCCATCGACTACTCTGTCTATTTTGCCTCCAAAACAAATGTAACATATCAAAACTCTTGTTTTTGGGCGTAGGTGAACACTTGTGCTCTAAATGTTTCATCATTCTCTGTTGCTCCTGTCTGACTAAATAAAAAAATAAACATGCTTCTTTTCAATCTTTTGGAAAGCAAAAAAAAGAAAATCATTTGCCACTGTGCATGTATACTGACTTCACACACATGCACGCACACAGCTGTCAGGCCTGGTTTCTCTACTGAAGTCACTCACCGTGTCTTTCATCATGGTAAAGAGAATGCGCGGGCCAAATGACAGTTTCAAATACACAAGTGCTAATTCCAGGCCAATCCTGCTGATATATTTAGCCACTAAGTTTTTTCTTCTCTTTTTTTTCCTCTATTTGTCTAACAGTTAGTTTGGCTGCCTCTGCTCTGTTACAGTCTTTAATCTCGCCTTCCTGTATCCTGCATTTCTTGTGCGACAAAAAGGATGTTATGTTCTGGTAGTCTGGTTTTCTTGTCTACACTAATTAATCAAGACAGTTTTTTTTTTTTCTATTTCTCTGTTAAGAAATTAAAACTGGAGTTTTGCTAAACTGACTTAATACAGTCTTCACTTTCTGAAGCATCAGTCCCCCTGTGCAATAGTCAGATTTTAACATTTTTAAGAAAAGATATTAACAAAGAGGGTATTAGACAACTAGTGTGTAAAATGGTCAACAAAATGCAGAAACAAACTAAGTGGATAGCAAAATACTGTCAAGGCTGGCACTAGTTCACACTCAGGTGAAGTGCTGTAAAGAAAGAGTTGAATAAGGCTCAAGTTGTTGAATTATAACTGAATTTAAATAACGCAACCAAATCAGTTACTGACAATTCTGTATAAAATTAAAACCAAAAATCTAACTGCGTTCTCATCCCTGACACATTGTACCATTCTGGTTGCCAGAATACACATTTCACCAGTTCTTTACAAAGATGGTCCGCCCATGTCAAAACAAATATGGCTGCTTACAAGGAAAAAAAAGAAAAGCATTTCTATAAAATCAGTGAATGGAGGCCAAATCTCTGTTAATCTGAGGTGAAATATTGTAATGAGAAAGTAGTATGAACTCACAGAAGCTGGCTTTGGCTACCCCATTAAAGCAATGCACATATGAATTGTGACAATAAATCAAAATTACTCTAAGAAAATCATGATATGAGTAGTTTACAGATTTACTACTGCAGATTCTGAGGTGTTTGAAAACAGAACATTTTGAATGCTTCAGAGAAAGAGTATTTCACCTTTTCTTTACTGTGTAGTGCTGCACTTTTTGGTCTCACCCTGTCAAATCTTCCACTCTGCTCTTGTGTGCGCTCTTCCTGTATCACCATATTCTGTTCTATTTTCATCTGACCTTCCTGTTTTTGGACGTATTTTTCATATGTTATCATCAGGTGCAGTGAGTGACAGTTATTGGTCTGGGGTCGGTGGTTCAGGCGTTACCTCTTTTTTAGGCCTGATCTCATTTCCTGCACACTTCCTCCTGTGGTGCTAACGGCTGCTAGCGTACACACATCAGGCGGGCACATAGCGGGGGGAAAACAATATAGGTACCCCTTGCCATTATAGGCACTAATAAGTGGAACATAACACTTGTGCCGTGTCATTTTCATAGTGTAATTGCTTCAAGACCTCTAGAAAAGATTACATCGTTAGCAGAGCCATCATCGTAATATTCGTTCCCTAATTGCGCCATCAACATCCTCTTGTAACATGTAGATGCTCTTGTGCTTGTCCTCTTTTGGGAGATTTATCTAATCGGCACAATGTCACGTGAACCTGCACCACACACTCCGGCAATTTGGAGAGTGCTAAACTGTAGTAAATAACAAAACAGTGTCCGCGCAAGGCTTATTTTGTGCTGTGTAAAAGCAAATAATAACAGCTATAATGGCAAAAAGCCTTTCTGTTTGCCCATAAAGTCGCCGCGTGGAAAACAGAGTAATTACCTAATCTGTTATTGTAATGAGAGTGATCTGTAAAAAGCCCAGAACTAAATAAACCATCAATTATTCAAGTTAGATGGAAATGTTTTGTTCATCGCCAAAGTTTCAGCCAATTACATGCATGCATACAAGTAGACCCATGCTTACATTTGACCAAGTTATTCTTTATAACAATAACAAAATATAATGTGAATAAGAGGCTTGATACAATACAAACCTTGGGCAGATTAGTATCAGCATTACAAACAATTCCACCAACACAATTATGTTCTGCTATCAGTTGATTAACAAGTTGATATTGCATTTCAAAAATTAACTTTTGATTATGAAGGACCGAGGAATGATGCCTTAATTTAGTTTTGATTCTGGTGCTACATGCATTTGTGGATCGGTGGCTAGGCCTTTTGTTGACTGGATGGACTGGGTTATAAATGTATTTTTTTATACTTTGCCAGAGGTTTGCAAATCCAACATAGTTTTCAAATGGTTTTCAATAGATTTTAGTCAGTAAGTCGAAGTTTTAAAGGAATCTAAGGGTGCGTTCAGACTTTTATTTGATTCTAAATTTAAATGTACTTTAGTTCACTTCTGACTTGGACTTGGTATGGTCCTGCTCTGGTTTTGTTCTGGTCCTTGTTTGTCTTGATCTAGTCCAAGTTTAGTTTTGGGTTTTGTCCTGGTACCCAGTTTTGATGTAGTACTTCTGTATTTTGTTGTTTTTTTCTCTTGTGAGTTTGTGGTTTTGTCAGTGCACTTTGGATCAGATATATGGTTGGATCAGAGAGATACTAGAGCTCGCAGTCCTTAAAAGTGTTCCAAAGTAACCAAAAGTAGTAGCCCTATCAAAAACATAGCAGTATTACTACTACTGCCAGTAATAGTTGTAGTAATAACATTATACTCATGGCATTGATTGCTTGGATGAAAACGGTAGGAAACTTGATTTAAAATACAATATTGCTAGCTGGTCAGAAACACCACTGGGCCACATTATATTTTCATGAGACAGATAAATAAAAGTGTCTGCAGATAAGATGCATTATCCAGATGTAACACTCGCGCTCTATGATTTTTCCAGTGATCCAGCAGCTTATTGCTTTATTGACTGAGCACTTCAAGAGCCCAACGTCAATTAAAGGAACACGCTTTTTATAAGGACATCACAAAATATTTAGTATTACCGGTATTTGCAGTCTTCAAAATTTGAAGCAGCTCAGTTATGGCGGAACAAAGAGCAAAAACCACAGTGGCGTTGATGTGTTTTATGTCTTGGGAGGTAAGTAAGACAAAACACTTTTATGATACAACATTAATCATATTACCTTGCACATTTAGACCCATATCGTGCAATGCCAGCGAAAATCACTTGAATCACACAATATTTATTACATACTTTATTTAATAGGATTCACTTCCATCTCATCCTAATGAACTAATACATTGGATTGCTCACAGTTTAAAATGCAGAAGGTCATGGTAACTAACACTCAATCAGCTTGACGTGTAATTCAGACAGTTATGGTCTCCGCTAATGGGAACTTGCTTAGCCCTCCTTCCTGTTTTGCATTTGCTAGTGAGACTTTCAGGTTATACATCATACGGGCATGTGCAATACTGTAATGTACAATTTAGCAGGCAATGGTATTTTCCAGAGGCTTTGATTTTCCTGTCTGCTGGGCTGAGGAGAGGCCAGCAGTGTAAGGGGAGGAAGTGTGATAAACATGTCCAGAGAAAAGTTCGGGGGCCCTGTCTGACCACTGTAGCCAGGGTTGGTTACCACAAACAAAGATAGAGAAAGACAGATAAGAAGCAGCCTCACAACTGCTCCCATAGCACTGTCTAAAGCCTAACCTTGCTCTGGGTTATACCACAGTCTGTTTTCTTCTCAACATACAGCGCACTGGAAGACAACAAAGACGTAAAGAAGATTAAAATAAAACCATGGAAACAAGTGATCAGTAATTATGCAGTAGTTGTGCTTTTTGTTGGTGTAAGTCACAGCTATGACAATAACAAAGATGACAGAGCCGTGTTGTGTTTGAGGTTAGGCACAGAAGTTGTGGGTTTAACTCTTTTTAAGTGGTGAATTCATGTCAATCAATCAATAAATCAAACTTTATCTGTATTTTTGTATTATCTGTAAGAATTTTAAAACTAAATGTAGTGTAAAATTTATGAAAAATCTACGCTAAAAAGAGGTTAAGAGGTTTTGAGCTTACTTAAATATGTCCGCTGTTGTTTGTCCTCAGTGTGTCTTATGACCACCTTATGAGCCACCACCACCACCACCACCCAAATGCATTTAAATATAATGTGACAATACTGGATGTCAGGTCTATAAATAGCTTCTGAGAGTTCCCATCAAGACTGATAACGTTTAAATAGTAAGTAATAATATAGTAATAGTTTAAATAGTTTAGTAAGGTTTAAGTTATTTTGTATTTATTTTTATTTATTTATTTTTATCATGACACATGCAATAAAACTAGAAAGAACTGGTACAAATTAGCATAACTAGTTTTCTTGAGGCATCTGTTCTCAAGATTATTTTCCCCAAGGTCCATCAACGTAACTGCTGCAAGAACACAGACACAGTTTCTCCTGTTTCCTCCAGACAGTCTTCATCATAAGTGTTAGAGAACTACTGTTACAGAATATTGCCTAGATTTTTTACCAGGCATGGCTGTGTTCTTTAATAATCCATGTTACAGTAATAAAAGTGAATCACAATACATATGTTGTCACATGAGAGCATTAAAACATGGGCTTATATCTCCACAGAGCTTTGCATATTGTATGAGTACACGTCCTGCTACTCTTCTGCTGTTAACCGTTGTATGCATTACTCCTTATCAGACACAGAGGACTAGATTCATTAATATGTTATACTGGAAGACATAGCAGGTTGTCACAATCACATCCATTTGACTGCATGCATTTTCAAATCTGTTTTAACATTAATTCCAAAGATTTTGTTATACAATCAGCTACCCATATAATTTATGGTTGACAGCACATTTACTGCATAGTTTGCTCCACAGCAAAATCATCCATCTCCCTCATACATTTTACACTGGATGCCCTTCCTCACTCAAAGAACAGAGAGCAAATCATGGACCAAAACTGACAATAACAAAAAGTAACAGCAGTAACACATTATCACATACAACTGTTTCAGATTTAAAGTTTTGAATCCACTTTGCACATCAGAAAAAGTCATGCATATTTGTAGGCATCATGTAATTTGCACTTGAAATGCAAAGCTGAAAAGGGGTTATAAAAATAAGCTTTGGAATGTATTTTATAGTGGCTGTTGTGTCTGGGTTGATGTCCTTTATATTGATTGATTTGCTTTTGAAGACCTATGCATTAAAATCTAAATTAAAATGTAAATGCCCACAAACTATACGCAACACCTTCTACCAAAATCACTCATGTGTTGAGTTGGGCTGAGACTGCTGCGGCTCCAGTCCATGATTCATGATCATGAAGGCCGGCTCATATGGCTGTTTTAGGGCCACTTTCATTATAACTTGATAATAAACTGGCAATGTTCACTTGACTGGAACAAGGAACTCATTTATGCCAGTAAGATATAAGGTGAACTTGAAGTGCCGCGTGAACACCTTACCAAACCGTATTAAGGAAATGCATAAAAAATGTCCTTGCACTATAATTTGAGCATTTCTGAAGCCAGTTACCGTTAGATCTATACTCGGCGTGTTAAGCTTTGCCCGGAGCATTGAGTGTCTATGCAAAATGAAAGGTCTCGTAAATCAGCACTCTTTAATACTATATCATTAAACAGGATCTGACATATAAATCACTTGTCTGGTCTATAGTCTCTATTATTCCCAGGGGGTATATGTGCTGAGCCCTGTCAGGCTGTCTGTCTCTCAGCCTGGCAGACTTCACATCTGGATCACTGTTATTATGACGAGCATAACATTTTACAGGCCAGGGTATTTTAGGTGCTATTATGCAATATTAAAAAGTCAGAAAACTTGTCGGAGGATGCATCTGTGTTAAAACGCACACAAAATAAAGTTGTAAGTAGTCAAGTCGCGTGGCGTGAATTGTGTGTAAGTTGAGAAGAGCAAAGCAGACGCCACCTTGGATGCGTCAGACAGTAAGACAGATTATCTGTATGTGTCATCTGACAGGGAAAATTCCAGCCATGATTCACTATTGGTCACAATTTACAAAGAACAATTGTCAACTGTGCTAGGAGACATATTAATAGCCCACTTTTTATTTAGTAAACTCCAAAGTACAGTGCTAAGTAGTGTTTATGTAATTTGAGAAGTGTTGTTGACAGTGCCGCTCAGTCGGACCAACAATAGCTTATGGTCGGCGCATGTGTTTGGCTTCTCACGGGGATCAAAACAAAAAGTCACTAGTCTGAAATTCATGCA